TGGAAGCGGAGGCTGGCGGGGGCCCCTCACCTGCAAAACCTGGTCGCCTCTCATATATTTCGTGCATTGCATTCATCGCCCGCTTTCTCCTCCAAGGAGCTCCCGGGGGCGCGCGTGGTTCTCCCCGTGTTATCCTCGCAACAACAGCCCTGCGAGGTGGGTCAGGCGAGTGGCCCAAGGGAGCACCCAGGGATTGTCCTGGCCAGGTGGGGTGATTTGAACCCTGCTCTCTGCCCGGTCTTCGTCCTCATTTAGCCCCCACATGTGCATGACTGTGCATGACTGAGGTTTCCCCCCCTCGTCTTGGCTATGGTGTGAGTCTGTGCTGTTAATTAATGGGGTTCTGCCTTCGGAGAAGATGAGCCAGCCCTCAAGGAGGTGATTATGTAATTTGCTAGCAATTCATGTCCCTCCCGGCGTGACGCTGCGCGCTGACGTCACGGGGCTGTAATGGTGGTGTGCCTCGAGATTTTTTTCATGAAACAAGTGTGCCTTTGCCCAAAAAAGGTTGGGAAACACTGGTTTATGCTAGTGGCCCCCAGTAATAGTAGTAGTAGTAGTAGTAGTTTATTATTTGTACCCCGCCCATCTGGCTGGGTTTCCCCAGCTACTCTGGGTGGCTCCCAACAGAATATTAAAAATACATTAAAATGTCACACATTAAAAACTTCCCTGAGCAGGGCTGCCTTCAGATGTCTTCTAAAAGTCAGATATTTGTTTATTTCCTTGACATCTGACGGGAGGGTGTTCCACAGGACGGGCGCCACTACCGAGAAGGCCCTCTGCCTGGTTCCTTGTAACCTCACTTCTCGCAGTGAAGGAACTGCCAGAAGGCCCTTGGCGCTGGACCTCAGTGTCCAGGCAGAAAGATGGGGGTGGAGATGCTCCTTCAGGTATACTGGACAGAGGCTGTTTAGCCCAGTTAGCTAAGTACAGTGGTACCTCGGGTTACATACGCTTCAGGTTACATACGCTTCAGGTTATAGACTCCGCTAACCCAGAAATAGTACCTCGGGTTAAGAACTTTGCTTCAGGATGAGAACAGAAATCGTGCCCCGGCGGCGTGGCAGCAGCAGGAGGCCCCACTAGCTAAAGTGGTGCTTCAGGTTAAGAACAGTTTCAGGTTAAGAACGGACCTCTGGAATGAATTAAGTACTTAACCTAAAGTACCACTGTACTGTGGATCCCTTGTTTTTTCAAAAGCCAATTTTCCTACTTTTGAAAACATTGATATATTTGTGGTAGTTTTAGTTATGGGAATGATGTAACCATAGCCTCCAACTTGTCCCTGAGCGAAACCAGGATGCGTCTGCCAGGACATTCTCCCGTGCAAGTCATGTGACCTGTGCAAGAGTGTTGCAACCTAAAACATGTTTCGGGGTGCCACAATCTCGCTCAATATGTGTGTTTGGGTGTAATCTTGCTCTCAAATGGGATGTCCCAGACAGTTGATGGGTATGCGCCATGGACAAGATAGGCCTTTGGTCTGACCCAGCAGGGCTGTTATGTTCTTATGACTTCTCTGTGGTGGTGATGAGCCGCTTCACGCCTTGGCTGTAGTTTAGAAGTACTCCCTAAGTGGATCAGGGCCATCACGGCAGTCGGTCTCTCTCTGCCCCCTCCCCAGCTGTTGCCAGGAATGTGGGGCTCACAAATATGACTGCTTTGTTGGGTGCTATGTTTTGTTTTCTGCTGGGAGAGGGAGGATCTTGCCACGGGGAAGCCATTTTAGGCAGTGTCTCCATAGCAACCGGAACATATGTGTGCTCTGTCTTGCAGCTTGTCACATGTAGCCTCTCATCTGATTGAACTGACAAAGGAATTGCAAGAGGATCAAGCTGCAAGTGTCAACTTACGGAACTGACTTAGTCAGGAGGATTCCCCCAATATATTTGACTGTACTTTGGGCAAGCAATGCAAGGGCTTGAATCTTTGCTGCCCCTGGGTGGAAGCAATGAGTTTGTACACGTTTGCTGCGATTACTTTAATCGGGGGACAAAAAAGGAGCAATTTAAGGCCCTCTTTCTGGGCCTGATCCAGGAAGCTCTGCCACAGCTTTGATGATCAGTGCCGCTTTTACCATCAGGCGAAGCGAGGCTGTTGCGGAAAGGCATGAAGTTGCAGCAAGGAGAGGTGTGTGCTATAATATTGCCATCCCTGTGCTCCCTCAGTTAGCCTGCTGTCCTCAGATGATGTGGTCAATGCTATCCTCTCACCTGTCTTGCTGTAAGATTCAAATGCCAACCTGATGGGCTTCTGTATGGGGAACAGATTAAGGTTACCAGATTTTTTCCAATGAATCCGGGGACACTTTTCAACTTCAATGGATTTTGTATGGGACTGATTTGTAAATCCGGGGACTGTCCCTGGGAAACAGAGACGTCTGGTAACCTTAGAATAGATGCCATCGCCTTGTCCGCCTCAGGCAGCAAAATGCCTTGGGCCCAGGACCGGCCCTACCATTAAGCAAAGTGAAGCAAAGTATGTGCTTGTTACATTGATAGGGTTGCCATATTTCAAAAAGCGAAATACCATTTTGGAGCTTTTTTTTTAAAGGAAAATCTGCAAAAACGACACTGCTGACATGGCTTGCCATACGCCTGGATTTTCACTGACATTTTCCCAATTTCCACTCGGACACTGCTTCCGACTACAGTATTCCGTATATGTCCGGGAAATTCTGGACGTATGGCAACTCTCGTTACAAGGATCCCTAGTCCAGATCCTTAGTGTATCATCCCATCTGTAGCAGATTTAACTCACCACCCAATAGTAGGAGAAAGTGGGAAATGAGCTCAGAGACAGTTGCGCTTTGGTGCGATACCTGGGAGCGCAAATCCCTCAATGACCACCTAGAAAGGCAAGAGAAGGGAAGGGAAGGTGAGCATTCACACACACACAATTCTTGGGGAGAATTTCTCCTGCAAATTTTGCAGGATTGGCACACTGGTGCATGTTATAATTTTTCATACTATCCCAATAAGTTCCTATGGTGTGCCTTGCACAGGGCCAGGACAATATATTTTGGCACCTAAGGCAAACCAAAAAATGGTAAGACGTGCTGGGCAGTTGCAAGCCTAGGACACCTCAGAGGACCAACCCCACCCTAGGGATGGTAGGAGACCAGTGGTGCCTCCTATTCACCAAGAGGACACTGCAGAGGCAGTATTTTTTGAGGGGGGGGATTGTTGAGGTGGCAGCAAATCTGGTCTCCAAGAAGCATGCATTGGCTACTGCTACCATTGTGGCAGCGGCCGCAGCAATGCATTCCTTTGAGGCCAGATCTGCTGTCCCTGTGGATCCTGCCACCTTGTCATGGGTGTGCCAGCCCTGGTCTTGAACTAGTTGGCATTTATGAGACTTAAGAGCAAATGGACTAAAGCAAAGATCTGCAACAGGGGCACAGTTTGGGTATGGTGAACCTCCGAGTCCGCCTGCCTCATGAGGAATTGTCGCTGAATTCAGCGAGATGCCTGTTGAATAAATAAGAGGAATTCGCTCCGATATTTCCTTGTGGCCCTGAACACCACTGTGATCTTCTTTTGCGTTGTCATTGCTGATCTGGATCTAGATCAGGGGTCAGCAAACTTTTTCAGCAGGGGGCCAGTCCACTGTCCCGCAGACCTTGTGGGGCGCCGGATTATATTTGGGTGGTGGTGGGGAAATGAACGAATTTCTATGCCCCAGAAATAACCCAGAGGTGTATTTTAAATAAAAGGACACATTCTACTCATGTAAAAACACACTGATTCCCAGACTGTCCGCGGGCTGGATTTAGAAGGCAATTGGGCCGGATCCGGCCCCTGGGCCTTAGTTGTCAGGAGTTCAGCCTACACTCGAGTAGGACTCTGGCAGAGACACATGCCTGACTGGCATGTTCTCTCCCTTCTGGTCGATCGTTCGGGAGCTTCATAAGCTTTCTTCAGTCCAAAAATCACAGCAACCGATGCCAACCGACACTGGCACACTTAGGGATCCGCAGAGTTTGCGCATCATGCGCGTGACAGACCTCCACAACTCAGCATTTTGGCTAATCTACTTTATTTACGTATAAACACACATGGAGCACTGCAACATGGCTCTCTCTCTCTCTAGCAAAGAGACAGCAAAGAGAAAAAGGACAAAGGACAATAGTCCCCTTCATGGAACACAGTAACACAAACATCCTCTCTCTGTCACTTCCCACTCTGTGGAGTCAAAACATACAACGTCATGTGAAAGACAAAAATCCCATGACTGCAATCACGGAGCAGGAATTCTAACAGCATACCCATGATCTAGACATAGCTGTCAACTTTCAGATTTGAAAATAAGGGATCAGCAGCCTCACCTGTCCCAGGGACAGTCTATGGGATATCTAACAATCTGGGATAGCAGCAGGAAACGGTGCTGGAATAAGGGAATTTCCCGCAAAAAAGGGAAGGGTGAGAGCTATGGATCTAGATATTGCTGGTAGCGGGAGAGCTTGGATCGTGTAGCCCCAAATTCCAAATGTCGCAGCTCCATGTGGGAATGGGATGTAAAGTGCACATTAACCGGCCCTGCCCCCTGCAGCTTCACGCCCCCCCCCACAACAACCTTGTGAGGTAGGCTAAAGGCAATGACTGACTGGCCGAACAGCACCCGGTGTGAGCTTCATAGCCCAGTGGGAACTCGAACCCAGGTCCTAGTCTAGCCACTGCACTGGAGAATCAGGCCTGCGGACACCCGCGTCAGCCGGTGCACACGTTACAAAGAGTTTCTGCTTTAATGGCTAGAAATGCATTCGCTTCTGCGGCCTCGTGTCAGCAGCCAGGATGGCCAGGTGTTTAAGGCCACTTTTAGAGGGGAAATCTGAGAGTTTAAAACGAGTTTTCTATCCATTCATAGAACCCGCAAAGGGCAACTGAGCAGCAAGCCTCCTTCTCCTTTAAGGCGCGGGGCGAGGAATAATTAGGCAGCGGCCCCTTTAAATAAAAACCTTCCTTCCTCCGCGCTTTCCGAGCGCGTCTGGTTGTCCCGCCCCCTTCCCCGTTCCGTGAGCGCCCGCACGACGCATGCGCAGCCCGGGAAGTTCTTTCTGGGTTCTGAGGTTTGGTCCACGCGGGTTCTTTGCTGCTGCTGCGTCTGGCGAGCGGCGGCGATGGTGAGTTTGTGACGTCACGGGCTGGTTCTGTGACGCAGCTGCCATTGCTTTTTCTCCCCACACCCCTAAAAGCAGGGTGCAGGAGGCAATGGTGTGCGGGGTTATTATTATTATTATTCTGCAGTCAGACAAGCCGCTTGCAAGTCGGGGTCGGTGGGGAGAGGACGAACTTTCCCTGCTTTTAATTTCTGGACTCAAGAGCAGAGCAGCCTGTGTTTGGGCGATGAATGCAGGCAGCAGAGTAGCCTAAAAATGCACATTAAACACTAACAGCGTCGCCATCATCATTAGGATCAATGCTTTTTATGTTCTCTTTTCATAGAAGAGTTGGAAGCAACCACGAGGGTTATTCACTAGTCCAAGCCCCTGTAATGCAGAAATCTTTAGCCCGACGTGGGTCTTGAACCCACAACCCTTATGAGTTAAGAGCCTCATGCACAACCTCAGCTGAATCTCTTTAAGCACCTCCTTACACTGGCCTTAGACATCAGAGATATGTGTTGCCAGGGTCTACCCTATTTCTATGACTGTAATCCGTTTAATTTTATTTTTTAAATATATCTTTATATTTAAAGATATATGGGAGGGGTGGCTAACACCCCAGAGGACAGGATCACACTTCAAAACGACCTTGACAGATTAGAGAACTGGGCCAAAACAAACAAGATGAAATTTAACAGGGAGAAATGTAAAGTATTGCACTTGGGCAAAAAAAATGAGAGGCACAAATACAAGATGGGTGACACCTGGCTTGAGAGCAGTACATGTGAAAAGGATCTAGGAGTCTTGGTTGACCACAAACTTGACATGAGCCAACAGTGTGACGCGGCAGCTAAAAAAGCCAATGCACTTCTGGGCTGCATCAATAGGAGTATAGCAACTAGATCAAGGGAAGTAATAGTGCCACTGTATTCTGCTCTGGTCAGACCTCACCTGGAGTACTGTGTCCAGTTCTGGGCACCACAGTTCAAGAAGGACACTGACAAACTGGAACGTGTCCAGAGGAGGGCAACCAAAATGGTCAAAGGCCTGGAAACGATGCCTTATGAGGAACGGCTAAGGGAGCTGGGCATGTTTAGCCTGGAGAAGAGGAGGTTAAGGGGTGATATGATAGCCATGTTCAAATATATAAAAGGATGTCATATGGAGGAGGGAGAAAGGTTGTTTTCTGCTGCTCCAGAGAAGCAGACACGGAGCAATGGATCCAAACTACAAGTAAGAAGATTCCACCTAAACATTAGGGAGAACTTCCTGACAGTAAGAGCTGTTCGACAGTGGAATTTGCTGCCAAGGAGTGTGGTGGAGTCTCCTACTTTGGAGGTCTTTAAGCAGAGGCTTGACAACCATATGTCAGGAGTGCTCTGATGGTGTTTCCTGCTTGGCAGGGGGTTGGACTCGATGGCCCTTGTGGTCTATTCCAACTCTATGATTCTATGATTCTTTATTCATTTAAAATGAATACAGTGGTACCTCAGGTTACAGACGCTTCAGGTTACAGACTCCGCTTACCAGAAATAGTACTTGGGGTTAAGAACTTTGCTTCAGGATGAGAACAGAAATCGCACAGCAGCGGGAGGCCCCATTAGCTAAAGTGTTGCTTCATGTTAAGAACGGTTTCAGGTTAAGAACGGACCTCCGGAATGAATTAAGTACTTAACCTGAGGTACCACTGTACATTTATGAAAAACAGACGTACATACAAGTAAACAAACATACAATCAAACAAACAAATAACAGAAAAATCAAACAAACCACCACACTATAAGATATAAGAAGATTAATATAATTATCATATATACTCCTGGTGTTGAACACAATTTTAAAATTTATAGAAAAGAAATTTAAAACTGACTTCCAATTAATCTCACTGTACTGTAATCCATTTTAATTTTTGCTAATTTGAAAAGTGTTGGTAACCCACCCTGGGGCCTGCTGGTGTAGGGCGGGTAATATATTTAATAACGGTGGTGATAATCGCACCATTATTGTTGTTCTGTGTAACACCGTATTAGTGTATGACGACTTGGCAAAGAGCACTGTTTCCTACCCCGAAGGGCTTTTAGCGTAAATTAGAGGCAAGGAAACAGTGGAGCAAAGGGGAAACTGAGTTGTGAATGGGCAGAGGAAAAAGGATGATGGGTATTTCAGTTACCTGTAGTTGAGCACTTGTTGCCACAGGGGCTAGAAACCTCTTTTCAGACTCGGGGTCCTATTCCTTTCTGGGCTCTATGCGGACAGGGGCACGATGGGAGTTGTAGTCCGGAACATTGGGCGCTCCCACCGTTTGTTGGAAGCTGATGTGTATATACGTGATGTGTTTGGCGCACACTGCTTCCTGCTGAGCAGTGGAATAAAAGTTGTGTGAGGCCGTCTTGTGGTTAAGTGCAAGGGAGTCTCTGGGTCAGGGGTAGGCAACCTAAGGCCCAGGGACCGGATGCGGCCCAATCGCCTTCTCAAGCCGGCCCGCAGACGGTCTGGGAATCAGCTTGTTTTTACATGAGTAGAATGTGTGCTTTTATTTAAAATGCATCTCTGGGTTATTTGTGGGGCCTGCCTGGTATTTTTACATGAGTAGAATGTGTGCTTTTATTTAAAATGCATCTCTGGGTTATTTGTGGGGCATAGGAATTCGTTCTTTTAAAAAAAACCAAAAAAAACCCCCGCCTGTCTGAGGGACAGTGGACCGGCGCCCTCCTGAAAAAGGTTGCTGACCCCTGCTCTTGGTGATCTCTTAACATTTGTTCTTCCTTCATCACAGCTTTTCTACTCATTCTTCAAGTCCCTGGTAGGGAAGGACGTGGTGGTTGAACTGAAGAATGATTTGAGGTATGACTGGGTACAAACACATCTTGCTCTCCTTGGGGAAAATCCAGGAGCCTTGGTCCCGGATCCTAACCTGTTTCTAAAAAATAAAATAAAATAAAACTTATTATTTCTATCCTGCCCATCTGGCTGGGTTTCCCCAGCCACTCTGGGCGGCTTTCAACAGAACATTAAAAACAAAATAAAACTTCAAACATTAAAAAACTTCCCGTGCTCGCTTCGGCAGCACATATACAAACATTAAAAAACTTCCCTAAACAGGGCTGCCTTCAGATGTAAAAAGAAAATTTATTTCTCAGCCTTTGCACCCCTCCCTCCCTCCCCAAATATCCCGTGTGTCCTGGCTGGCTTTTAATTGTGCCTTTTCTGCTTTTTTACAGTATATGTGGGACCTTGCACTCCGTGGATCAGGTATGAATTACACCTAAAGCCTATTTCTTCCTTACAGATTATAAAGGTAAAGAGACCCCTGACCATTAGGTCCAGTCGTGACCACCTCTAGGGTTGTGGCGCTCATCTCGCTTTACTGGCCGAGGGAGCCGGCGTACAGCTTCCGGGTCATGTGGCCAGCATGACCAAGCCGCTTCTGGCGAACCAGAGCAGCGCACGGAAACACCGTTTACCTTCCCGCCGGAGTGGTACCTATTTATCTACTTGCACTTTGACGTGCTTTCGAACTGCTAGGTTGGCAGGAGTAGGGACCGAGCAACGGGAGCTCACCCCGTTGTGGAGATTTGAACCGCCGACCTTCTGATTGGCGAGTCCTAGGCTCTGTGGTTTAACCCACAGCGCCACCCGCGTCCCTTGTTTACAGATTATATCCTACCCCAATTCTTAGTGGATCGCGTAGGCGCAGCTTATAGTTAAAACTATGGAACTTGCTCGCACAGGAGGCAGTGATGTCCAGCAACTTAGAAGGCTTTAAAGGGGGGTTTGGCAGATTCACGAGAGGAGGCTACTTGCGGCTACTAGCCATGATGACTAGGTTCTGTCTCAAGAGACAGAATTGCAGGTGGGCAAGAGTGTTGTCGCTCTCATGCCCTGCTTTTGGGCTTCCCACAAACATCTGTTCATCCCCTGTGAGAACAGGATGCTGGACTAACTGGGCCACTGGTCTGATCTACCAGGTTTTGCTTATGTTACGTTCTAGGTTTTATGAAAAATATGTGCGTTTTGGTTCTCAAAAGGGCTTCCTGTTTGACTGTACGATATGTGCAAGCAGACTTGCAGAAAGCAGAACGTCTCTTTAGTAGTGCAGTTATAAGGTTTTATTTATTTTAATTGTGGGGCGTGACAGAGATGTGTAAAATGATGCCTGCCACGAAGAAATTGGACAGGGAGAAGTTTTCCTTCCTCCTCCCTCGTAATACTAATGGGGCCACCCAGCGAAGCAGAACGTGTTGGAAGACTCTGGACGGGCGAAGAAAAAACCGCCACAGAGCGTATGCTTGAATTCGCTCCACGAAGAGCAGCGATGGCCACCAACTCAAAAGATGAGGAAAATTCATGGGGAAATATAATTGTTAATGGCTGCTACCTTTCCCGGCCGTATTCTGCATCCACAGTGGGAGACAGCGCCCCTCTGAATAGCAGTTGCGTGGAAAAGCAAATGGGCTATTGGGTTGAGATTCTGCTTGAGGGTTTCTCGTTGGCGTCTGGTTGGTCACCGTGACGAGGGGATGCTGAAACAGATGCTGCCAACAGGGCTGTATGTTCAGTTGAAGCTGACCAGAGAGAGGTGTTGATGAAGGTGGATAAACAGCAAAGGGGTAATGAACAGGCCGCTAGGCAGAATGTTGTATTACTTTTGAACCTTGCTTGCTTAGTTCCGCCCCACCCTCTCTCTCCTCTGGCTTTGCAGTATCTGAATATCAAGCTCACAGACATCAGTGTGACCGATCCAGAGAAATACCCTCACATGGTGAGTGATGGACGTGGGGCAAAAGGGGGGATTTGGGACGGCAGGCGTGAGAAGTGTAGATAAATGCCGAGGTAGAAATTGGTATCTCTCCTGCTGGTTTTTAACCTGTAAAGCCCCATAACCGGTGCAGGGATTTTTCTTGGTGGTGGTCGAGTTCTGAGGGACCTTTATAAAACCCGCAAGTCCTACTCCCAACTTTCCCCAAGCTTACAATGATTATTTGTTGTTTTAGAGCAGGGGTAGGCAACCTAAGGCCCGGGGGCTGGATGCGGCCCAATCGCCTTCTAAATCCGGCCCGCAAACGGTTCAGGAATCGGTGTATTTTTACATGAGTAGAATGTGTTCTTTTATTTACAATGCATATCTGGGTTATTTGTGGGGCATAGGAATTCGTTCATTTCCCCCCCCCAAAAAAAAATAGTCTGGCCCCCCACAAGGTCTGAGGGACAGTGGACCAGCCCCCTGCTGAAAAAGTTAGCTGACCCCTGTTTTAGAGCCATTCAAAACCACTTGGCATTTTTAAAAAATCTCAAGGTGTTATTCAGAAATTGCAACCAAATGAAAATAATAATTATTAAAACAAATAAAATCAGGGATTCAGAAATAGTCTTAGGCTCAGAGAAAGCCTGGGCAAAAAGATATCTGAAGCCGGTAATAGATGATGCTCTACCCAAGTCTCATTTTAGCCTCCTAGAAACAGGAGTTAATGGCGTTTTTGAAAATGAATTGGGAGGGAGTTAATTTCCCACCCCACCCCCCATCTGGTGCCCTGTCACCTCCCCCCACCTCAAAAACAACCTTGTGGGGTAGATCGGTGGGTGTTGTTTGGCCACAAGGTCACCCAGTGGAGGATTTGAACTGTTTCGTCCCCCTAGTCCAGTCCGTACGCTTCTTATCTCTGTTCCCTGTAACGCTATCCTTCCTCTCCAGTTGTCCGTCAAGAACTGCTTCATTCGTGGCTCCGTCGTCCGCTACGTCCAGCTTCCAGCCGACGAGGTCGACACGCAGCTGTTGCAGGATGCTGCCCGCAAGGAAGCTTTGCAGCAGAAGCAGTGAGGGCGCCTCCTGCTTTCATTTCCCTCCCTCCCCCTTTCTGCACTGCGTGGTTTTCCTGGGAAAGAGTTGAATGGAGATGTGGGGAAGCTAGACCCAGCTTCCATACCTGCCCCCCGTGCCATCGAAGCTGCCACCAATATTCTGTGTGCACACACACACACCCCAGTCCTGCAACCGTTGGAAGGCAGAATGCGTGTCCCAGGCTAGAGTTGGTGCCTGCCTCCTATGGGCTGGATCCAGACTTATGATTCACCCTTGCAGAAGGCCCATGGGAATCAATAGGAATTTAGTCGCGGCTACCTGAAATCCCGTCGATTTTGGTGGGTCTGCTCCAAGCGCATCGAAACCCTGCAAGAAGCAACAAATCTGGTTTCTCTTTTGCTTTAAGTTCAAGGAGGTTGTCTGTACACTCCTGTTCTGGTTGGGACGCAGAACCCCCTTCCATGGGAATGGCAGCGACTTTTTTTTAAAAGTAATTATTTTGAGCCAGTAGTTCAATTTCCCAGCCCCTGCAAAAGCTTTTCATCTGTGGCATTGTTCAGTAGTGGGAAACGTTACTTCTTCACAGGGGGGGCTAATATCCCACCATATGTCCTTTCCGGGTTTCCTCCCCATTGTTTTTGTCCTTCCTTCATTTGTTCTCCTACCTGTGTTGCCAGTAGAGGCCACAATCCTGTGGGTATTCTAGGTGGTGCAGACTTGAGTTCTGCGATCTATAAATTCCAATTAGCAGTACTGGGGGTGGTTCAGATTCTGTGGCAATGCTCCTTTTGGCCAGCAGAGGGTGCCCCAGGGCCAGCCAACTTTCTCTAAGCAAACTTGGGTTTCTAGCTGTTTTTGGACTACAACTCCCATCATCCCTAGCTATCAGAACCAGTGGGGAGGGATGATGGGAACTGTAGTCCAAAAACTTCTGGGGACCCAAGTTTGGGAAACCCTGCTTTATAGCAACTTTTGTGTTTGGCCCGCAAATACGGGACCTGCCCATGTTTGTATTTTCTAGTATTTTGTTTTCCTCGTGTATTTTTTTTTTTAAAGAGGGCAAATTGAAAGAGAAATTGTATGTAAAGTTGCGGAAGAATAAAAGGTTGCATTTGAAAGATTGTAGCTGTTATGGGATCAGTCTAGGACTTGGGGAAAATACCACAACCATGGTTCTGTATGAATGACACACAATAAGGCCATGCACTTAATTTTCCATGCCCTGCAGCCCAACTTTGGATGGTTGGCTTTTAGGACTGCTCTGCTCCTTACTTTTTCCAAATCAGTCTTCATGCAATGATGGCTAGAACCTTGCTTTCACATAATTGCACCAATAAATTCATCATGCGTTTTGCAAGTATGCAAGTTCTTTCTACCAATGAAAGCCAGGCAAATAATGCACATTTATAGCCTAATGTGTTTCCTGTGTTTCTGTAACCTGACTGCCGCTGCACAACCCTCCTATCACTTGACTTAAAGCAACTGTGTGAGAAGGAAGACCATACACCTGTCTGTCAGCATTCAATATTATTATTATTATTATTATTATTATTATTACATTATTTATACTCTGCCCATCTGGCTGGGCTTCCCCAGCCACTCTGGGCGGCTTCCAACAAAATATTAAAATACAGTAATGCATCAAACATTAAAAGCTTCCCTAAACAGGGCTGCCTTCAGATGTCTTCTAAAAATCTGGTAGTTGTTGTTCTCTTTGACATCTGGTGGGAGGGCGTTCCACAGGGCGGGCGCCTCTGCCTGGTTCTCTGTAACCTCACTTCTTAAAGTGAGGAAACCGCCAGAAGGCCCTCGGCACTGGACCTCAGTGTCCGGTTATAACGGTGGGGGTGGAGACGCTCCTTCAGATATACTGGACCCAAGGCCATTTAGGGCTTTAAAGGTCAGCACCAACACTTTGAATTGTGCTCGGAAATGTACTGGGAGCCAATTTGTAGGTCTTTCAATGTGTTATGTGGTCTTGGCAGCCGCTCCCAGTCACCAGTCCAGCTACCACATTCTGGATTAGTTGTAGTTTCCAGGTCACTTCAAAGGTAGCCCCACATAGAGCGCCTTGCAGTAGTCCAAGTGACACCATATATCCTGTGTGTTGCTTTGTTTGGTTTCTAGAATACATATGCAGAATAAGACACAGCCAGGACTTCCAAGAATGGAAGATTCTACTCTGTAGGGAATCCAGCTCTAGGGTAAACCATCTCTTAGTAACCTGCCTTATGCAGAGTCAAATAACTGGCAAATTATTGGTAGTTTTTCCTAACTTAGCAGCAACTTTGCAGAATTCCAGCTCTCCCCTACTACTAACTGGAGTAGCTGGGAATTGAAACTTCTGCATGCGTAGCAGATATTCTGCTGCTGAACTCCAACCCATCGCCAAAGAAGAACAATCCCTTCCTGTTCATCATCGCCACATCCTGCTTTGCAAACTTGGGTCAGTTTTAGAAACTGGATACCGCACTCAGTGACCTTCCCAACAATTCCTTGTTAGCTTATTTTGTGGAGTTCTTAAAGGCTGGGGAAAAAAGTTGGGCAACATATCAACACATGCCCTGCTGATTCTCTGCATGTAATAAGGAACATAAAAACCAGCTTGGAGATTTGCCGATTTATTAACTTTTGCTTCCGGCTGGCAGTCGGATGACTTAAAAGGATGGATCTCCTCCTCAACGGCCTCATTGACCATCCCAGAGGGCTTGTGGTCAAAAGCAAGGAGGCCTGCCACTCTGAACAAGGTACACAGCCAAAGCTACACCACGGTATCCCCCAAGGCTCAGTGGAGGGGAAAGATGCCCAGGGCCCTGGGTGTCTGGATTGGAGAGAAACTAGAGCAGGCTTCCTCAACCTCGGCCCTCCAGATGTTTTTGGCCTACAACTCCCATGACCCATAGCTAGCAGGACCAGTGGTCAGGGATGATGGGAATTGTAGTCTCAAAACATCTGGAGGGCCGAGGTTGAGGAAGCCAGGACTAGAGGATTCCGGGGGTGTTTGTGAAACCATAGGGCAGGTGTGGGAAACCTTTGGCCCTCCAGATGTTGCTGACTGCTATGTCCCACCAGCCCTGACAAATGATGTCACAGGAATGGTGGGGGGCGCCAGCTGGGGAATCCCCAAGGGAAGAAGGCTCAGAGCCAAGGGAGAGGTGGTGGGACAATGGTGAGTGGTCAGAGGGAGAAGGCTGGGAGGAGGAGATGTCTAAAGCTGAAGAAGTAACAGAGCTTAGTGAACTGGGGGAGGGTGGGGGAGTCCGTGTCAGAAGTCCAGAATCGGAGGCTGAAGCTGAACCAGAAGAGGAGGGAGGTCAAGCAGCAGAGATGTGTCTGGCTGGCGAAGAGCCACAGGTGTCTCCCCCTCCTGGTGTGACAAGCTCCGCTCACCCCTGGTCTCCCAGAACCAGGAGAGGCATGAAGAGGGTGGAGGAGTTGGCTTCACGCAGGCGCAGTCTCAAGATTGCTTGGGGAAAACCCTAGAGAGGAGGGGGCAACTGTGGGGAGACAGGGACCGTCAGGGAACTGCCATTGGCTCAGAGGCGAGAAACAGAAGGGCAGTTGCGTTACAGGGAGCCTCCAAAAATCTTGCGAAGCAGTTCCTCTTCTGGGGAGGAGGAAAGCCCCACCTCTAGTGGGGAAGAGGTGCAAGGACCAGAGGAAGCTAGTGAGAGCCTTAACACTGCGCCTGAGAAAGCCGGAGGGGAGGGAAGCACGCCCTTGCCATCGCCCATCCTGCGCAGTAGTCTGAGGCGAAGAGAGGGGCGGAGATGGTTGGGGGGTAACGAAACTTTTATGTTGGGGGAGGTACAAAAAAAGACCACTCCCAGATTCTGCTAGCGATTGAGCCAGACATGAACTTATGACACTTCACTGTAAATAAAGGTAAAGGGACCCTTGAAGATGCGGGTGGCACTGTGGGTAAAAGCCTCAGCACCTAGGGCTTGCCGATCGAAAGGTCGGCGGTTCGAATCCCCGCGGCGGGGTGCGCCCCCGTCGTTCGGTCCCAGCGCCTGCCAACCTAGCAGTTCGAAAGCACTCCCGGGTGCAAGTAGATAAATAGGGACCGCTTTCTAGCGGGAAGGTAAACGGCGTTTCCGTGTGCGGCTCTGGCTCGCCAGAGCAGCAATGTCATGCTGGCCACGTGACCCGGAAGTGTCTCAGGACAGCGCTGGCCCCCGGCCTCTTGAGTGAGATGGGCGCACTACCCCAGAGTCTGGCAAGACTGGCCTGTACGGGCAGGGGTACCTTTACCTTAAAGGGACCCCTGACCATTAGGTCCAGTCATGACCGACTCGGGTTGCAGTGCTCATCTCGCTTTATTGGCCGAGGGAGCCGGCGTACAGCTTCCGGGTCATGTGGCCAGCATGACTAAGCTGCTTCTGGTGAACCAGAGCAGCGCACGGAAACGCCGTTTACCTTCCCGCCGGAGCGGTGCCTATTTATCTACTTGCACTTTGACGTGCTTTTGAACTGCTAGGTTGGCAGGAGCAGGGACCGAGCAACAGGAGCTCACGCCGTCGCGGGGATTCGAACTGCCAACCTTCTGATCGGCAAGCCCAAGGCTCTGTGGTTTAACCCACAGCGCCACCCATGTCACTTTAAATAGTTTGCACCAAAATAAAGCCTGTAAAAGGCAGGTTGGAGTCCTGCCTGGTTACTCTTGAGCAACCACGACAGACATCTGACAGGGACCTTCAGTCTCAGCAAATGCTTCATGGGGGAAAGACCTGCTGGAGATGAATTGTTGTGCTCATGAGGCCCGACACTCCTGTTTTTGCTAATGAAGGGTTAACTCCCAGTTGCTCAGTATGATTTATTGCTGGCTCCTTCCTCTCACATGCAGGGCCAAAGGTCCCCCCCAGTCCCGCCGCCCGTACTCTAGGCTTGTTTTTTTGCCAAAATCGTTGGCCAGCTCTCCTTTTCCGGGTTCTCCCAATGTGCTCACGCACCCTCCGTGCTCTAAGCGCTGGCATGGGTCCTCTCATGGCTAACCAGCTGTGACCGCTGACGGAAGCATTTCCCACAGTGTGCACAGGTGTAGGGCTTTTCTCCTGTGTGCGTCCTTCTGTGCTTGGCGAGCAGCGAGCTGCGCGTGAAGCTTTTCCCGCAGTCTGGGCAGTGGTACGGCCTCTCCCCGGTGTGGCTGCGGGCGTGCGCCGTCAGCGCCGAGACCTGCTTGAAGCCCTTCCCGCAGTCCGAGCACTTGAAGGGCCTCTCACCCGTGTGGGTCCTGGCGTGCGCGATCAGGATGGACCTCTGGCTGAAGCTTTTCCCACAGTCGGCGCACCGGTACGGCTTCTCGCCCGTGTGCGTCCGCTCGTGCACCGTGAGCGTCGACCTCTGGCCGAAGCTCTTCCCACAGTCGGAACACTTGTGGGGCCTCTCGCCCGTGTGGGTCCTCCTGTGCGCAATGAGGTGTGACCTGTGGCGGAAGGCGTCCCCGCAGTCGGGGCATCCGTACGGCCTGCCACCTGTGTGGACCGTTCTGTGGGCGATGAGGTTTGAGCGGTGGCTGAAGCCTTTCCCACAAGCCGGGCACTCGAAGGGCTTCTCCCCCGTGTGGGTCCTTTCGTGGATGGTGAGAGTCGACCTCTGGCTGAAGCTTTTCCCGCAGAAAGAGCACGCGCACCGCTTCCCTTCTGGCTGCAAGATTTCATGATCTGGGTGTCCGCCATGAAGGCGACTGCCCTCTGCAGCCTCCGAGCAGCTTTCTTGCCATTGTGCAAATGTTGCTTCCTGGTCGAGGCCGCAGGAAACATTTATTTGGCCTCTTCCTGGCAACTTGTGATGTGATTCTTTATCCTCAGGGTGCTCTGTCTGGTTTCGCTCATTTGCGTGACGCTTCCTATCTTCTCCTAGAATTGGGAGAGAGTTTGTAACGTGAAGGTTATTGTTTGTCAGGGACTGGGCAGAGGAGGAGTGGTGGAGACCGTCCTCCCCAGCCTGACTCTTCCAGAGAAGAAGAAGACTGTTCAGAATTACAACAGGGGTTTGAGGGAGGTCACAGCTCAGAGGAAGATGAGGGGGAAATCTGGGAAATAATGGGAGAGTAGGAGGAGAAGGAGCAAGAAGCAGCACCAGGGGAGAGACAGCTGACAGACTCAGTGTCTTTAGAAAGCATTCCAGACCACCCCCCTTCTCTCAGAACCTGGCAGTTTGTGCCCAAGGACCAAATGTAATGCCTGGTTTAGAGATCCTTGCTTTTTGCTTGCACCTCACCACTTCCACAACTTCCTGTGTGTGTCTTTCGATGCCCTGTTTTTCTGCTCACCGCCTGGAATCAGATGTACAAATACGTCGCGCAAACACTTTCGGAATGGCGGTTTCCATATTTTTTTTTAAACGCCTTGATTGCAAACGTTGTGAAGAAGCTCGTGCCACTTTCACTCTTCATTTAGAAGAGCAGCCAGGAATCGGAGACACTGAGAACTGAAGGACAACCTAAACTGTAGCTCATTTTGAGAACTCGAAATAATCTGCTGACCCAGTCACAATAATTCCTCACCTGGGGAGCTGGCATCACCATCAACCTTCTGGCTGAGTTCTCTGCAGGGTGGTTTCTGCCAGGCATCCGATGGACCGTCACTCTCTGCCTCTGCGCAATGTATGGCTGCCACCTTGAATGGCCCTGGTCCCTGAAAAAGCCAAGGAGACCCAGCTGAAGGCGTGGGGTAAAGTCTAAACCTGAGCAGGGATTTTGCTTCCACCCCCATCGTTTAGCCCAGACACTGAGGTCCAGTGCTGAGGGCCTTCTGGCGGTTCCCTCGCTGCGAGAAGCCAAGTTACAGGGAACCAGGCAGAGGGCCTTCTCGGTAGTGGCGCCCGCCCTGTGGAACGCCCTCCCACCAGATGTCAAAGAGAACAACTACTACCAGACTTTTAGAAGACATCTGAAGGCAGCCGTGTTTAGGGTAGCTTTTAATGTTTAATAGGTTATTGTATTTTAATGTTCTATTGGAAGCCGCCCAGAGTGGCTGGGGAGGCCCAGCCAGATGGGCCGGGTATAAATAATAAATTATTATTATTATTATTATTTGTTTCTCAATAACCAGCATCTGGCTCTCTCACCTGAACGTCCTGCTGCCGCCTCAGGAAATCCTCTGCCAGGGACACGGCCTGGGAACAGGTTTGTGGTGCACCATCCCTCACCCATTTCTGGAGTTCTTGGGGCAGGATAGACAGAAACTGCTCCAGGATCACCAGCTCCAGGATCTGCTCCTTCGTGTGCCTTTCTGGCTTCAGCCACTGGCGGCAAAGCTGCCAGAGCTGCCCGCAGGCCTCTCGGGGGCCATCGGCCTCCGGATAGTCGAACCGCCTGAAGCGTCGTCGCTTCGCCTCTGCGTCCAAGATGGCGGAGTCCCCCTCCTCCAAGTCTTCCTCTTTCACCCTCATGCCATTTGCCTCAGCTTTGTCTGACTGTTTGGCGTCTTTGCCAAGGCCTGGCAGGAGCTGGGATAACCGCCCCGCAGCTCCAGGCTCGTCAATGGCGTGGGCTGCTCCTTCAGAGGTGGACAGAAAAGCCTTAGTATCAGCTGGTGCGGCCCCCGGCAATTGTAGGTGTTTCCATTCTGAACAGGGCAACTCGACCCTTTTGATAAATTCCTGTAGCTGAGCCTCCCAGCACTCCTGCAGCTGCTTAGGAAGTTCCTGCTTCATCTCATCCAAAATGGTTATTTCCTTGAAATCCCCACAACTCCCCACACAGACGGCACAAGGGCTGTTTTCCGCACCATTCCTTGGCCCAGGGTCTGCAAGCTCCGGTTCCTCCATTTTCAATCCTTGCTCAATCGTTGTTTGGAGCGGCAGAGCCAGCCCTGATGCATCTCCCTTTTCAGCAGCCATTTCGTCCCCTCAAAGGATGGAGGTGGGGAACTTAAATGGCACTCCTAGTTAAGATGAACAGGCTTGATGAGATGATGGGTGGGTTTCTCACCCTTATTAATCGTCGCAGGTGGAATGCAATATTCCTAGGCTGAGGAGAGGGGCTGTTCCCTGAGGGAAAGATGGGACAATTGCCTAAAATTAGATTACATATATTTATGAAACTTATTGCCCATGCTTCACCACAAGTCCCCATGAGTGGGCTAGAGCAACAGACTATATATATACAACTATGAAAACAGATAAAATTAATGGAATAATAAAACAGTTCAAAATGGAACAGTATAACTTCAGCAAAAGAGGTGTGCCCAGCAAAACAAAAACCAGAACTAGCGCCTTGTTTTTTGGCCAGGGTCCACACATGTTGAGGAGCCTTGGTAGGCCGCTGGAATTTGCAGTCAACCCAACTCTGCCCTTTGAGGGAAGACACACAGGTTTCATTGTTTATGTCACGCCAAGCGTTGGAGTTGCAGGGATGATTCCCAGTCCCAGAGTCAAGGCTTCGGACATTGTTTCCCAAACTTGGGTCTCCCCAGCTGCTGTTGGACTACAGCATCTCTAGCTAGCAGGACCAGTGGTTGGGGTCAGGGATAATGGGAGTTGTAGTCTAAAAATTGAAGGCCCAAGTTTGAGAAACTCAGGAGTGGAGATAGTCACACCAGAAGTGGTAAGGCCATTCATTGCATTGAGCAAGACTACAGGTCTTACCCTACGGGTGTGTGTGTGTGTGAACCTTTCGCAGGCCGCCCGTGCCTCCTGTCCCAAAGCCCAGCTATAGTCTAGAACCAGGACGTTTGACCAAGGACATGGGCTCCCAACACCACCTGAAACGCCAAAGGCTTCTCTGCTTTCTGATCATCTTGCGCTACCCCAAACCCGGTTTTCTGCCCGCCTCGATTTAACCCGCCAGATCCCCCCCGCCCCAAAACCCCCAAGCTGTAAAGATCCATCATCCAGTGCGCGTGGGAAATTCAAAGCCCATTTTCCCACGGTGGCGGAAGATATTCCCACGGCCGGCGGGAGGGCCAACAAGTCACTTTCCACAAGCCTCCGCCTCCTGCTGCGCCACCGGGGCTGCTTGGGGACGAGGGCTTTTGTCCGCCTGACCCTCAGGAAGGACCACCCGGCAAGGCGGGGAGGATGGCGGGTCCGTGGTCTCCCCCAGGTGTTTGCTAGACGCCAACTTGCATCCTTGGCCGGGGCTGGCGGGAACCAGCAGCATCCTTGGGAGGCGTGGGGTGGGCGCTGCAGGGTCGCCATTTCCGGGGCATTGCAAAAAGGGGCACCAAGCTGCAAGGGGAGGCAGCTGGAAACAAGGGGAAAGGCGGAGGCGACGTACTTCTCAGCCGACGGCTGCCTTGCAGCCCGCGTTCCCGGGGCATCCGAGCGGCACTAGCGGCCCTCCCGCCAGGAGGGGGCGCTCCACCGCTCGACTTGGGAAAACTGCAGCCTCTAGTCTAACCTAAGGCAGCCTGTCTACCCGCGTGTACCGCTCTGCATTTTTCTAGTTCTACGTTCACGGCTCCCTTTCTCAGCCGTGCTTTCACCAGCTGTCCTTAATAGGTACTTCCGGTCCTGTTTCCCACTACGTATCCTCGTTAACAGGTAAAAGCGGCCCTACCGGAAGTGCGCGCTATGTGTCTCTCTACACTGCGCCTTCCACCGGGCTATTGTGAGCAATGTGTTGCTCTATAAGAATTGGGAGGCGGAAGTCTGGCTTTAGGGTCCTTTTCCACCGAGGGTTGGCCACGGAACTGCCTGTGTAAAAACATGTATGATGCAAGTCGGTTGTAATACAGGATGTCTATTTATTTATTTCATAGAATCATAGAATCATAGAGTTGGAAGAGACCACAAGGGCCATCGAGTCCAACCCCCAGCCAAGCAGGAAACACCATCAGAGCACTCCTGACATATGGTTGTCAAGCCTCTCCTTAAAGACCTCCAAAGAAGGAGACTCCACCACACTCCTTGGCAGCAAATTCCACTGTCGAACAGCTCTTACTGTCAGGAAGTTCTTCCTAATGTTTAGGTGGAATCTTCTTTCTATTTGCTTCAGAACATTTATGCACCGCTTAAGCAAACAAAGAAAGAAAGAAACAAAGCAGCAACCCTCAGCGCGGTTTACAAAAAAGATAAAGCAATAAACTGGCAACCCTGCATCAAAACATACAAAAGTTTAAATGCTAAAAACAGGTCAGAATGCCCTATAGGGGGAAATAGTCCCCCATATATCCATGTGTCGTCCACACAGCTGCATCTGGCGAGCAATGCTTTAAAGCAGCAGTCTTGTAACAGCTTTGATTAGGAATATATATGTATTAGGAAATTATTATATTTGGATGTATTAAAGTGTTTTTTGTTGATTGGTTTTTGTTGTTGTTGGAACTAATAAAGCAAAATTAAATAAACAAAAGGAGTAAGGTAAAGGTAAAGGTACCCCTGCCGGTACGGGCCAGTCTTGCCAGACTCTAGGGTTGTGCGCTCATCTCACTCTATAGGCTGGGAGCCAGCGCTGTCCGGAGACACTTCCGGGTCACGTGGCCAGTGTGACAAAGCTGCATCTGGCGAGCCAGCGCAGCACACGGAACGCCGTTTACCTTCCCGCTGGTAAGCCGTCCCTATTTATCTACTTGCACCCGGGGGTGCTTTCGAACTGCTAGGTTGGCAGGCGCTGGGACCGAACGACGGGAGCGCACCCCGCCGCGGGGATTCGAACTGCCGACCATGCGATCGGCAAGTCCTAGGCGCTGAGGTTTTACCCACAGTGCCACCCGCGTCAAAAAGGAGTATCTCGCCTTAACTCCTTGTAATTTAGCTTCTGCATGGACCATGCCTAGGATCATCACCCTGCCCAGCCTAACAAAGCCCTCCTCTGCTGCCCCCTCAAAGCACCCCACAACTTACGACTCAACATTTTCCCTTCCACGACTCCCCCCCTTGTTCCTCTCCACCCCCACCACCAAATCATTTAGCTTGATGAAGAGTTCTGGAGAACTAAAAAAAAACCTTGCACACTATTCCGTGACTTTTATGCTGGCCTAATAAAGGTAGTTTATTAAAGGGACGCAGGTGGCGCTGTGGGTTAAACCACAGAGCCTAGGACTTGCGAATCAGAAGGTCGGCGGTTCGAATCCCCGCAACGGGGTGAGCTCCCGTTGCTCGGTCCCAGCTCCTGCCAACCTAGCAGTTCGAAAGCACGTCAAAGTGCAAGTAGATACAGTGGTACCCCGCAAGACGAATGCCTCGCAAGACGGAAAACCCGCAAGACGAAAGGGTTTTCTGTTTTGGAGGCTCTTCGCAAGACGAATTTCCCTATGGGCTTGCTTCGCAAGACGAAAGCCCATAGGGAAATCTCTGGGGACCTGTTTTAAATTGCTGGCGGTCGGGAGCAAAGACTTTCGCCCACAGCCGGCCTTCAGAAGAGGTCCTGGACCTCTTCTGAAGGCCGGCGGGGGGCAAAAGTCTTTGCTCCCTCCGCCTGCCTTCCCGGGACAGCGGAGACTTCTCCGCTGCCCCGGGCGATCTTAAAATGCTGGCGGGCGGGAGCGAACGCTTCGCTCCTGACCCCCAGCATTTTAAAATCTTTGGGCGAGTGTCTGCAAGCCTCGCGCGCCCGGCAGGAGGTCCCACCGGGTGCGCGAGGCTTGGGGCGGCAGCCTGTCACCCGAAGCACGGGGAGCCCTTCGGAGAGCTCCCCTTGCTTTGGGCGAGTGTCTGCAAGCCTCGCGCGCCCGGCAGGAGGTCCCGCCGGGTGCGCGAGGCTTGGGGCGGCAGCCTGTCGCCCGAAGCACGGGGAGCCCTTCGGAGAGCTCCCCTTGCTTTGGGCGAGAAGTCTCTGCTGCCCCGGGCGATCTTAAAATGTTGGCGGGCGGGAGCGAAGCGTTCGCTCCCGCCCCCCAGCATTTTAAAATCTCCCCGGGACAGCAGAGACTTCGCTCCCGCCCGCCAGCATTTTAAAATCGCCCCGGGACAGCAGGGGCTTTTAAAATGCTGGCGGTCGGCAGCAAAGCCCTCCTGTCCCAGAGCTTGCGGGGCGGGAGGTGGGAAGAAGGGCTTTTTTTCCCACCGCCAGCCTTCAGAACAGCCTTCTGAAGGCTTGCAGTGGGAAAAAAGCCCTTGTTCCCCCCCCCCCCCAGCCTTCAGAAGAGGTCGGGGGACAGACTGTCCCCGGACCTGGCCTGAAGGTGGTTTCCCTAGGAACGCATTAATTGATTTTCAATGCATTCCTATGGGAAACCGTGCATCGCAAGACGAAAAACTCGCAAGAAGAAAAAACTTGCGGAACGAATTAATTTCGTCTTGCGAGGCACCACTGTAAATAGGTACCGCTTCGGCGGGAAGGTAAACAGCGTTTCCATGCGCTGCTGTGGTTCGCCAGAAGCGGCTTAGTCATGCTGGCCACATGACCCAGAAGCTGTACGCCGGCTCCCTCGGCCAATAAAGCGAGATGAGCACCCGAACCCCAGAGCTGGTCACAACTGGACCTAATGGTCAGGGGTCCCTTTACCTTTAATAAAGGTAGTGGCACTACTACTGCTCTTTCCACATTCATTGATTTATTTACTTATTTACTCAGTACTGTATACCACCCTCCATCTGAAGATCTTGGGGGTGGGGTGGGGAGTTTAACAGCATAAAAATACAGAATACGACCACAAAGGACATAATATAAAGAACAAATCAAGCCCGTAACCCTCCCCCACCCTCACATCCCACAAAGACATTTAAAAGGACACAGAATGTTAATCCTTTGTAGGAGGAACACCATCATTTCCTGTGGCAGCACCTGCGGAACTCCCTGCACCTTGAGACCAAGCAGGCGCGCCTTCGCCACACCCCTTTCTACACCAGCTGAAAATATTCCTGTTTTAGGAGCCTACCCAGATGCTTAATGGTTGAGGTAGCTTTAATGTGTTTTAGTATTTCTTTTCACATGCGTTATAAAGTGCGGGAATTTTAATGAAACGAACAAAGGAGTCAATCAATAGCGTTCTTACAGGGATTTCAGAATATTTATTGCAGGGCAATATGCAGGGGGCGAGGTGCTGAACTAGGCAAGGGAGACCCGAGTCCAGGCCCTCAGATCCTAAGAACTGGAAGGGGGCAGAGGTGCATAACGCTTCTCCTTGTTTTCTTAAAAGGAAGGAAGGAAGGAAGCCACCAGTTGGGATTTAATAATAATAATAATAATAATTCCAGTTGCAGATGGGTAGCCGTGTTGGTCTGCCATAGTCAAAACAAAAAAAATTCCTTCCAGTAGCACCTTAAAGACCAACTAAGTTAGTTCTTGGTATGAGCTTTCGTGTGGTATCTGAAGAAGTGTGCATGCACACGAAAGCTCATACCAAGAACTAACTTAGTTGGTCTTTAAGGTGCTACTGGAAGGAATTTTTTTTGTTTTAATAATAATAATAATAATAATAATAATAATAATAATTTATTTGTACCCCGCCCAGCTGGCTGGGTTTCCCCTCTGGGCGGCTTCCAACAAAGATTAAAAAAACATTAAAATGTCACACATTAAAAACTTCCCTAAACAGGGCTGCCTTCAGATGTCTTCTAAGCATGGGTATATTCCTGCATTGCAGGGGGTTGGACTAGATGACCCTCGGGTCCCTTCCAACTCTACAAGTGCCATGCGCTGCAAATTGGTGGCGGTGACGCAGGCGTTGCAGCAGACGGCTACAGGCGGGGTCCTTCCGCAATGGGAAAGTAGCACGTGGGGGGGAGAAGCTGCAGCCGGCTGGATTTGCAGGTAAGAGGAGGACCCCGCCCCCTCCCTTCCCCTGAACCCAGGAGTCCTGCCATGGGGGGGGTTCCCCCACCCCGAGAAAAAGACCCCCCAAGCATTTCATTCATTACCGGAGAGAGACTTAGTGCAGATTCTCAGTCCAACCCCTTCCCAACCCCCTCTAGCGCCCCATTTGTCTCCAGCAAAACCTGGGAGTTTCGACTCCTGTTCCCAAGTTTACTGCAGTTTCTGGTTTCCTCCCAAAGAACCCAGAAAATTGCTCATGGATTTCCTCCCGCGATCCAAAGCTGCCGGCTGCTGCCAAGACCCCGCCGCCAGTCACTTCCCTGCCCTCTTCCAGAGTCAGTGTAAGGCAGTAATAATAATAAATAAAAATAAATTTCATTTATACCCCGCCCTCCCCAGCCAAGACCGGGCTCAGGGCGGCTAACACCAAATATATAAACGATTGAAATACAGCTTAAAAAACAAGATTAAAATACAACATTAAAATTCAACCTCATTTCAGTACTAGAGCTATATGGACCCGATGGCCTGCCTCAATAAAAGGCAGCTTCTTAGGTCATTATCCCATCCCA